GTATTTACCCCAAAGACACAGATGTAGTGAAAAGAAGGGCCATATGCACCCCCAATGTTCATAGCAGCAATGTCTGCAATAGCCAAACTGTGGAGAGAGAGCCGAGATCCCCTTCTTTTCTTTTCTTTTTTTAAGATTTTATTTATTTATTTGACAGAGAGAGACAGCGAGAGAGGGAACACAAGCAGGGGGAGTGGGAGAGGGAGAAGCAGGCTTCCCGCGGAGCAGGGAGCCCAATGCGGGGCTCGATCCCAGGACCCTGAGACCATGACCTGAGCCGAAGGCAGACGTTTAACGAATGAGCCACCCAGACACCCCCCGAGATGCCCTTCAATAGATGACTGGATAAAGAAGATGTGGTCCATATATACAATGGACTATTACTCAGCCACCAGAAAGGATGAATACCCAACTTTTATGTCAACATGGATGGGACTGGAGGAGATTATGCTAAGTGAAAGAAGTCAAGCAGAGAAAGTCAATTATCATGTGGTTTCACTTATTTGTGGAACACAAGGAATAGCAGGGAGGACATCAGGAGAAGGAAGGGAAAAATGAAGGCGGGGGGGAATCAGAGGGGGAGACAAACCATGAGAGATTATGGACTCTGAGAAACAAACTGGGGGTGTTAGAGGGGAGGGGGGTGGGGGGATGGGTTAGCCCGGTGATGGGTATTAAGGAGGGCACGGACTGCATGGAGCACTGGATGTTATATGAAAACAATGAAGCGTGGATCACCACATCAAAAACTAATGATGTACTGTATGGTGACTAACATAACATAATAAAATAAAGTTAAAAAAAAGAAGACATATAAAATGTTACATAAGCGTTTGATAAATTTATTATTATTATTATTATATGAATATATTCTTGAGTTTATTTAATTTTCTAGGCAACCCGCTCTGCCATACAGGTACTAAAATCTAGATGACAAACCTAAAATTCAGAGAGGCTGAGAGTTTGCTCCAAATCACAACTACTCACTGGCTGACTAGAACCCAAGGATCTTCACTCTTAGGATCCTTTCCACAGCACCACACATCACTCCCCAGCATCCCAGGGATGACCCCAGGTCCAAGCCTTCTCTATTTACGTACCTCAATCTCCTCAAAATCACAATGGTAACAGCCACTAATTATGTGAGATTCAAAGAAACTTGTCACCCGGTAAGGCAGAGATTCCTTAGTCTCTACTGTTCTCCCCAAGGCTTTCTTCTTAACGAGCTCCCCCAGGGGCAGTAGATGGAAAAACTGTCTGCCTCCTTGGGATGATTTATGTGAAAGGCAATCACCTCCTTCCAGTTCTTCATCCTTCCTCATCATTTGAGTAAGTCGGCAAGGCCAGTGATGGTAGCTGGGGATGGGAGAAGGCCTTGGGTTCCAGATGCCTGAGGCTACGCTGTAAGATTACTTCTCTAAAGGAAGAGAAGTGTCTGAGACGACAATCACACACACAACATTCAGGGTGTAGTGAGTCCTGTCAGCTCCCACACCAAGCCCAGATCTTGTCCTTCCTCGCTTGATACGAGAGCTCTATCTCCCCAGTCCGCATGTCCCCACTAAGCACCAAGGCCCGTGAGGCTGAGGAGAAGATGCCTGGACTCTTGAATGGCCACCCCGGAGGTCACCAGCCCTTTCCTGAGTAAGTAGCTGTTATATTCCACCCCATGGCTATGCCCAAGTCCTACAAACCCTGGAGCATTAGAAACTAAGAAATTATGTTGTATGACATCCTACATCTCTTTTTACAAGGACAAAATCGGAGGCTCAGCACAGCTGAAACCACAAATCAGGTCATATACCACCTAAGCTTCCAATGCCATGGTCTCCACACTCCTCTGTTTCTCCTTCTCCGTTTATTTAACACAGGAAAGATTTGTTACTGGCAGGTAAGACCCCAAGGAAAGAAGTTCTGCACTTGGAACGAAACAGATGTAGCTAGTCTGATGCTGTCAGGGAGACCCAGCCTGGCCCCTGGTTTTCCCCAAAGCCAGGCCTGCTGAGAAGGCTCCAGATTCTATGGCCTCACCCTGACCTCTGAACACCTTCAGAAGAGCACGGGCCATGAGCTAACACAGGAGAGTGGTAAGGGAGACTGTGGTATTGGATAAATCACTTGTTCTCTGGGCCTCAAGTTTTCCCTACATAAATGAGTACACTGTTTTCAACTACATCTTCATAATATTTCTTATGCAGTATTTCAATCTGTAAAACCACATTAATAGCCGAATTGCTCTGATTAGAGAAAGAGACCCAGAGAACCTCCCATTCGGCCTTCCCCTCAGCTTCCCGATCCCTCTTGGGGTGGCCTCTGAGTCCCCAGAGAAGCAGTTTGGAAACTTACAAAATGGGTAAATTCTAAGATCACTTCCATCTTCAATGGCCTAGAATTTTATAAATGACCCCCAGGATCTTACATTCTAAAAGGAACAGGGAGCTTTAGCCATGCCAGCCAGAAGCTTAAAAAGGTGACTGTAGATGGTGGGATGACTTAATACCAAGTCCTGTTGGGTAAGGAAGGGTTGGAAGGAACTGGGGGAATTACAGCCAGAGAAGAAACCTGGGGACATGGTCATTGTTTTCAAACATCAGAAGGGCTATCACGGTATCCGATTCTTCTGTGTTGCCAATGTTTAGGTTGTCTCCTGGCACTTGGTGAAAATTTATTAAGTGAATTATAAATCAATCCATCAATCCATGAAAGAAAAGCATTAACAAAGAGAAAAGCCAGCTGACAGGATGCTAGTACTGCCAGGCTTAATAGAATGCTTGGCTCTTGCATTTCAATCCAAGAGGTATGGACTTACCCAATTTGGATTGCAAACAGACAAGGGGCACAATTTGGGAGACAGTGGACTCCATTTACTGGCACTATTTTAGCGGATGACCTAGCATCTGTGCTCCTGATGGGTTCACGCTCTGACGAGTAGAAAGGAAGAGAAATCCCTGAGTTTTATTTAAGACTTGATATTCTTTTTCTTATTCATAGACTTCAGATGCAAAGTGTTGAATTAACCACATACCCCAGTTCGTGGCATATTGCCAACACTGGGCCCCTTCTTCTTTTATTTGTTTGCTTCCTCACTCACTCGTGAATATTTATACCCACTCCCCACTGCTGCCCTCCTCCATTCTAATATACTTAGTGTTCAACTTTGTGTATGGATATCCTTATTTCATTGCATTTTTAAATTATTTTTGAGGTGTACAATGTGACGTATTGATCTATGTACATGTCATGAAGTGATCACCATTTCTGTTGCATTTTTAATTTATATAAAATATCTTGTGTTACGGATCTCATTCGTTTTCTCACTTTTTCACTCAGATTATGTTTTTAAAATCTACCAGCGTGGCTATAAGTAATTCTAGTAAGTCATTTCTAGACAGCTGCGCTATACCCATGGTGTCCTCCTATCACGTTTACCAGCCTAGTGATGTACATGCAGGTTGCTGCAAACTCCCCATCACTCTAATTGACACTGCAGACACATCCTCCTCCATAAGCTTTTATTTGCCTGGGTACCAATCTCTCTGGGATATCCATCTAGGAGCAGGATTGCAGGGCCATGGGATAGTCATTCACTTGACTAAATCATGCCAGTTTGTTCTTTGAGAACTGTTTTACGAGTTTATTATTTTACACGTACCAGTTTTACATTCCAACCAGCAATGCCCAAGGATCCCTAGGTTGCCACATCCCTTTGCAAGAGTTGTCTTTATTCTTTCTAATGTTTGCTGGGCTAACAAATGTAAAGTGAAATCTCATTGTCTGTTTTGCCATTTCTCTGATAACCAATGGATTTGAGCATTTCTTCATGGGCTTATCAGCCTTTTGGCTTTCTTGCCCATTTTTCTATTGGGATTCATAGATTTCTCTTTCTGATGTGAAAGTGATCATTGCTGGTTCCCCCTATTAGTACCTCACCTGTTACACATTGCAAATATCATCCCCCAGCCTTTCATATGCCTGTTAGCTTAATTCATAATTATGCTGCAATTTATTTTTGCCTTTTTTAAGGTGAAGTGTCTTATTTAAGAAGTTCTTTCCTCTCTAGCTCATAGATATTCTCCTACAGTTTTTTTAACTTTATAGATTCATGTGTTACCACAGATAAGCCCATAATCCACCTTTATACATGATATTAGATAGCAATTTTTTTATAACCTTCAAAATAACGAGCCAATGTTCCCAATACTTCCCAACATTCTATCCTTTCTCCCATTAGTTTTCAGTACCACCATTTTCCTGTATTAAGGTCTTACATAAACACAGGTCTCCCTCTGAGCTATCTAGTTTTTCCCATTGGTCTTTTACCTGTTCTTGCACCAAAACCACAGTTTTTATTACTATGGATGTTATTCTTAATCTCTAATAAGACAAATGCCCTCTTTTTACTTTCTATTTTCAAATATGACTTAACTATTTCCTGATCTTTATCGTTATATGTAAATTTGAGACTAAATTTATCAGTGACTCCAAAAAATCCAACATATATTTTAATTGAGAGTGAATTAAATTTATAGATTAATGTGGGAAATAACATCTTTGTAACATTATTCATTCCATCCAAGAAGATGGATTTCTTTCCACTTGTTTTAATTATCTATATGCCCTTTATTAGACTTGGCTTCCACATGGTAGTTTTGTGTATTCTTAGATAAATTAATTCCTAGAGCTTTAGAGTTCATGCTGCAACAGTGAATAACATCTTATTACTACATATTCTGATTGGTTATTTCTAGTCTATTCTACTGGTTATTTATATTCTATTCCAGAGAAATGCTGTTGATTTTTTAAGTGGATCATGTATCCAGCCACTCTGCTGAACTCACTGATTGGTTCTAATAGTTTGTCAATTGATTCTATTCTTTATTCCAAGACGATCCTATCTTTTTTTTAAAGATTTTATTTATTTATTTGATAGAGAGAGCAAGAGAGCACAAGCAGGGGGAACAGTAGAGGGAGAGGGAGAAGCAGGTTCCCCACCAAGCAGGGAGCCCGATACAGGGCTCGATCCCAAGACCCTGGGATTATGACATGAGCCAAAGGCAGATGCTTAACCATCTGAGCCACCCAGGCATCCCTGATCCTATCTTCTTTAAATAATGAAAGTTTTATATTTTTTTCCTTCTATCCCTTTACCACCTTTTTCTTTTCTTATAGTGTTAGACAGAATTTCCAATACTCTGTTTAACATTTGTGGTGACAATGGATATCCTAATCTTGCTTCTCATCTTAAAAGGAATACATCTAAGGTTTATTCATTTAGTGTAGGGTTCGGGTATAGATAGCTTTTACCAAATTAAGAATATCCTCTGTTCCTAGTTCTCTAACAGAGGTCACTGTAGACAGATATTAAACTTTATAAAACGATTGTTCTGTTTCAATGAAAATTACCATGTAATATTATTCTCCTTTCTTTTATTAATGTGAAGAAGTATATTGATGAAGTTTTGTGACATCTGCATTACTGGGACAAATCCCACTTGCTCATGATGTATTATTTTTAGTGCTATCTTGGATTCATTTAAAAATTGCATTACTTAAGATTTTACATATTTAAGATTATGTACATAAACAAAATGGACTTATAGTTTTCTTTTCTTATTTTTATTCTGGTTTTGCACTCAGTATTACACTAATCTTATAAAATGAGCTGGAAGGTCACCCTCTTCCTTTTGTTTACTGGTTTCTGGAACAATCTGCATAAAACAGAATTAGCTATTTTGAAAGTCTGGTAGAACTCAACGTAAAGTCATTTGGGCCAGGTATTTTTTGAAAGGGAAGGTTTTTGTCTACCATTTATAATTTCTCAATAATTGATGAGTCTAGTCAATTAATTCTTGTACATTTTGTATGTTTCTAGAAGAATGTACTTATTTCATTTAAATTTTTCATAAAATTTTCAATTGCATAAGACTTATTATTTTATCTCTAATGCCTGAAATAATTTCTCCTTTCTTAATGATTTTTTCATGCATTCTTTTTTTGTGTGATTCGTCTTGCCAAGGGGTCTATTTCATTGATATTTCATAGGACTTCTATATTAGTTTCCTAGGGCTGCTATAACAAATTACCACAAAGTTGGTGGCTTAAAACAACAGAAATTTATTCTTTCACAGTTCTGGAAGCCAGAAGTCCAAAACCTTAAAATAAAGAGATTATCCTCAATTATCCAAATGAGCCCAGTGTAATCATGGGGTCCTTAATATAGAACAATGAAGCAAAAGAGAACCAGAGAGATGGCAACATAAGAAGGACTCACCCGTCCTTGTTGGCACTGAAGACAAGAGGGAGGGAGCCACTCACCAAGGAATGTGCACAGTTTCTAGAAGCTGGAAAAGGTAAGGAACTGGATTCTTCTGTGGAGTCTCCAGGATGGAACACAGCCTTGTCAACATCTTGATTTTTCAGCTTTCTAACATACAGAACAGTGAAATAAAATTTTGTGTTGTTTTAAGCTAAGTTAAGAGTAATTTGTTACAGTAGCTACATAGAAAACTACACACTCCAATAAGAATTATCCTAAAGAGGGGCACCTGGGTGGCTCAGTTGGTTAAGCAATTGCCTTCGGCTCAGATCATGATCCTGGAGTCCTGGGATCAAGTCCCGGGATCGAGTCCCGGGATCGAGTCCTACATCAGGCTCCCTGCTCAGCAGGGAGTCTGCTTCTCCCTCTGACCCTCCCCCCTCTCATGCTCTCTCTCTCTCTCTTCTCACACTCTCTCTCTCAAATAAATAAGTAAAATCTTAAAAAAAAAGAATTATCCTAAAGATAATAGTTTATCTTTATCCTAAAGATAATAATTTACTTTATCCTAAAGATAATAATTTTCTCTCTCTTCCCAGGAAAGGCCAATTTGTTCTGAGTCTGCACCCTGTCACTTTGCTGTCCCCTCCAGCTTAGCACTTACACTCCTCCCAGTGACCAGTCCCCTCCCCAAAGCACACTACCCTGGCTTACCCTCCCCCTTACCCTCTGCCTGGCTTCCTCTAGATTACATCTACTATTTTTCAGCTGTACACAATTAGGTACAGAACACTAACAAGAAATATCACTCATAGTATAAGCAACATTTACATAGAATATTATAGATCTCAAACACTTTTTCAGATATGTTGTCTTATTTGAACTTAACAATAAACTTCAAGAGATGACATTTTATTTTCCCCATTTCTAAGAGGAACTATCTGAACCACTCTGGTTCCAATAACTGAACCAGAACTAATTTCCAAATCATGAATTTTCTTCCATCAACTCTCCCGATTTTAGGAGTCTAGTCTCCCAGTTACTAATCTAAAACCCACAGTCTTACAAGGAGTGGTCAGGGATGACATTTCTGGTTCAATCTGTTGGCCAGTATTTATTACACAACTACTATGAGGCAGGTGGAAAACAGTGGGGAGCAAAATAGACTTGGACCCTGCCTTGGTAGTGCTTTCACCATGGACCTATCCAGATGCTGTCTGGATGGCCTTAGTGGCCCCTTGCCTAGTGGAAGGATCCAATTCAGACCTTCTGAGCACCAAGTATCTCAGAGAGGAAGGAAACACTTAAAACAATGCTGCTCTATGCATGCCCATGTGCAGATGTTAAAAGGGAAACAAAAAGCCTGAGTTCTCCTAAGGGTAGGGCCACCAATTTCATTCAAGATTACTAAGCATTAAAAATATATCAGGAGTACTTAGTTTGTTTCTGACTCATTGTCAAAAGTACCAGAAAGATGATGAGGACACAAAGGAGTACAGAACATGGACTTCTCCAATTCAGACTACATCCCCAACTCTACCCTCCCTTACCTAGGATTACTTGACCTCTGCTTAGAGTCTCTTTTTTCTGCTCTTTTCTCTGAAGCTAATCCTGTCCTTAGGCAGCGTGGACATACTGAGTGTATGTTCTGTGACTCAGCATCTCGCTATCAACCCAGGTGGCTGCTGGCTGGTTCTAATTCTATGTCCCAAATGGTTTCTTGACCCACTTCAACTGGGTCCCTACTTTGGTAGATAGATGATTAGTGCCTCAGTTCCTGTCAGGCTGGACCTTTGGCTTATTCTCCTTGGCTCTTGCCTTTTGGGAGGACAAAGAACCCATTCCTGAACCTCAGCACCTTTCTGTGCATACCTCTGTGTGTTTTTGCCAGAATACTGCATCTTCCCACATTTCCATTGCCCATATCACCCCCCTGGACTCTTCCAGCCTGTAAGAGCACTCATTTAATTCCTCTGTGTCTTCCTTGATGCCACCCACCTCCCTAAACCACCAAGCTCAATGTTAGGTAACTATCCTTCCTCTACCAGAGACAGTTCTCCAACTTCTCACTCACACTTGACAGTTCCACACCCCGATGGACATGTCAAATTTCTAGGTCCCCACCACTCCTAGTTAGACCTTCTTCCCCATAATTAAATTCTCAAATGCATTCCAAAACCACTTTTTTCCAAGAAAGGTTGGATCAAAGAATACAGACTCTACAGTATTTATGTGATCTCTATAGGGAGAACTTAGGATACCCTACCTTCCTTACACAGGGGGAGCAAAAGGTAGAAATCCTGGCCAGTAGCACCAGGTAGGAGCAACTAGAGGTTAGCAGGCTGATCAGAAACAGGCCAGGGTGCCTTGGTGGCTCAGTTGGTTAAGTGTCCAACTCTTGATTTTGGCTCAGGTCATGATCTCAGGGTTGTGAGATCAAGCCCCGTGTTGGGCTCCATGCTGGGGGTGGAGTCTGCTTAAGATTCTCTCTCTCCTTCTGCTGCCCCTCCCCACCTTCTTTCTTTGCCTCTCAAAAAACAAAACACCTGAGGCCAAAGCAAAATATGTGTCTTAGATACAACTTGGGAAATGAAGCAAAATGATTACTTTCTGAACATTTTTCCAAAGATCTTTAGCACGTATCGTCAGAATAGCCTAAGAACATGGGTATTACAAGTTCTGTCTTTTAGATAAAACTAGAGATGAAGTACCTTGTTCGAGTTCACAAAATTAGTCAGATACGAAGTTGGAATTGAAATCAACGTAGCCAACACCAATTCTATGAAGTCATATCATAAAATATATGATGGGCTACATGGATGAATCCCCCTCCTGCAGGGCACAAGCTGGAACAAGTTATAAGCTATCTCCTCTACCACAGTGAAGACCCCAAGCCAGGACACACACCTAACATTCCTTCATATTTTTTACTTACAGGAAATCAATGCTGAGGAGAAACCAGAGCCATATGACTGAATTCCTCCTCCTGGGACTGACCAGTGACCCCAAAGAGCAGGGCTGGCTCTTTGCCAGTTTCCTCGCCATGTATCTGGTCAATGTGGCTGGCAACTCAGTCATCATTGCAGCCATCTGGGGGGACGCCCGCCTCCATACCCCCATGTACTTCTTCCTCTCCAACCTGTCCCTGGTGGACATCTGCTTTACAAGTGTCATTGTGCCAAGGATGCTGGCAAACATGCTGAGCAAGAGCAAGAAGGTTCCCCTTGCCCAGTGCCTCACACAGATGTATTTTTTTGTGGCCTTTGGGATCACTGACAGCTTCCTCCTGGCGGCCATGGCTATTGACCGCTACATGGCCATCTGTAACCCACTGCATTACACCACGACCATGAGCCCCCGGCGCTGTCTCCTGCTGGTGATGGCGTCCTGGGTGCTGTCTCACCTCCACTCACTCACCCACACGATTCTCATGGCCCGCCTCTCCTTCTGCGGGCCCAACGTCATCCACCACTTCTTCTGTGACGTCCAGCCACTGCTGATGCTCTCCTGCTCTGACACCTCTGTCAATGAACTTTTGGCCTTCACAGAGGGCTCCGTTGTGATCATGAGTCCCTTCATCTTGATCATTGTCTCTTATGTTTTTATCACCCATGCCGTCCTGAGGGTCCTTTCTGGGGGAGGCAGGTACAAGGTCTTCTCCACCTGTGGATCGCACCTCACAGTTGTGGTGCTATTTTATGGAACCATAGTATTTGTGTACATTCGCCCCTCATCCACCTATTCAGTGACAAAGGACCGTGTGGTCACTGTCATCTATTCAGTAGTTATCCCCATGCTGAACCCTTTTATCTACAGTCTTAGGAATAAGGACATGAAACAGGCCTTGAAAAAGCTGATCAGAAGGGTAGAATAGCAAAACCCATTCATTCATTCAACAAGAACCCATGAAACACCTGCTATGTGCCAGGAACTGTACTGAACTATGAAAATACTGCAAAGATACATCAATCATAGCTCTGTCTTCAAAATTAATTACAGTTCAATAAGTGGAGATGAGACAATTGCAATAGGTTATTATACTTTTTGGTAAAAATAAATAAAATGAGACACAGATATTGCTGTCTTACTGTATCAGACACATGGTTTCCTTTTTTTTCGCTTGCAATCTCTGGCTCGTCACAGACATAACCAGTGTTGTGTAAAAAGTATGATGAAAAGTCAGAAAAATTTCTGTAGCAATTTTTTTTAACCTGTTCAGATATGGGTCAGCTCATATGAAGCCTCAGTAAGTCAATGTTCTCATCATATGAGTTATTCATCTTATGCACAAACTCCTTCGGTCTGGCTAGTGGATCTTCTTATTACCTTTAGATCAGCTCATAACATCTCCATAGCTGTTCACATATTTGTCAGAGAAGGCAGCTTCACCAGCATAGTAATAAGGTCCTAAGATTCTGAGTGAAAATTTAAGTTACAAGTTGATCTCGCAAATTATGTGACCATAGTCAAGCCACTAAGTGTCCTGAACTCTTATTTTCCTCATCTACATAATGGATACAATAAATAATCCCACTACATGGTTGTGGGTGTGAAAGGAAAAATTCTGATTTTGATGACTTTGAATCATTTACTTAACCCCTCTGAGCTTCTGTTTCCTAGTTCTGAAATTATACCACTTGGCCTGGAAGCCCAATCCACCATTACCAACCCCATGATCTTGGGCAAGTACATTAACCTCTCTGTGCTTCAATTTTCATATGAAAAGTGGATTGTTTTGGGGATTAAATGATGTAACAAGTGTCCTAAGACATATTTATGTTTTAAGTATTTGGAGCAGTGTCTTGCATATATCAAGCTCCAGAAAATTTCAGCCACTATATCAAAATTATATGAAAGTGTGTCTATGGACTCTTCCCAAATAACATTTGAAGATCTGTAATGAGGTGGGAAATAGTCATAATGTCATACATCCTCTAAGTGAGTTCAGTCCAAGTGTCTCCTGAAATTATTTCAGTATTTCCAAGTGTTTCACTGTCAACGTCTAGTGCGTTGGGGTCCCTGGGTAAGGGCTGCGAAATCACCGGGACACAGGGGATGCAGAGCAAAGGCAGCACTTGCAACTGCATGCTGTCGTTTATTTTCCACATAGCTATATACTTGTAGCAATCAGGTAAGCATAACAATATGTACTTTCACACATAATGGGATTAAACTAACATCCTTGAAGAAAGATACATTAAAGAATTCTCTCAGCCACCCTTCCTCTGGAGACAGCATGTTCTTGTCCTAAGGAGGGACGCCTCTAATCTAGGCAAGAGCCACTTCTTGCAGATCCAGGCATTCAGAACTTGCAACATGAGATAAGGGGAAGAGAACATTTTCTCCTCCTTGCTCAGGTTTGCCTGGCTTTCCTAACTCTCACTGCAGTCCTTGAATGACCCTGGCTCGCAAGGGGCCTGCAAGCCTATGCCATCTCATTTCCCCCTTTTTTCTTTTGTTTTAATAAAATTGCCTTCCAGAGGGTGGCCATAGAATTCTGGGACGGTTTTATATAGCAGAAATGTAGCAGCGTAAAGCATAAGATAACAACTAGCAACACAATGCCCATTCCTCCAGCAGTATGCCCTAAACTCTGAATGATACCTTTTGGGTCTAATCCCTCAAGTTGTTTAAGGAACAAGTCTGCCAAAGTGGCAGCATCTTCGGTCTCAAATGGTCTACCAAAGATCTCCTGAATATTTGTGTGCAGATTATTGATCATGTCAACCGCCGATGAATTACCTTCTAAGTATCTTTGGATAACGCTCCAATCATGCTGTGACTTATTATATTTTAAATTGGTAACACAAAAAGTCGTAGAATTCCAATCGCAACGAAGCCAAATTTGCCTCTCTAGTGTCAATACCTTCTTCCCTAACCAGCCCACTGTCTGCCTAAGGACATCTATTTGTGTTTGCAAGCGAGTATCAATCATAGTTTGTGAAAGCCAAAGATCCCGAGAGTCACGGTGCCAATTTTCCACAAAATGTTTGGTTTGCAGAGAGGTATGTAATGCTATACCTGATACTGCGGCCAGCGTGGTAACTGTGATTAAGCTTAAAATAACTGCCACAGTAATGCCGACAAAACGTTTTGTACGTTTCAGCATCTTTTTGAAAAACTCCAAAACAGGCGTCCACGGGATTTTGGGCCCACGGCCGTTCTAGATTCACCGGAAGCCAAATGTGAGAACGTTGTTGCAAAATCATAAGAGAATATCCCGGTTCAAATTCTATAGAATTATTAATACAAGAGTACAGTCGACATCTGGTACAGTTAATTCCATTATAGAAACTAAAGTTCCCAACCAGAAATAGATATGGCAGAGGTACACAAGCAGTTACATTAATTTCTTTAAAAATAGTGAAGTTATAAGTTGACGCAGAGTTCGCTGTGCCAGAAAAAGTTCCATTGTAAATTCTAACAGTCTTAAGCGCGGCTGCAATTTTCCATAAGTGTGTTTGAATATGATCAGGAAATTTCTGATGTGCTACACGAGGATCTGCAATGCTGCCATCTCCCCAGGCCATCAATTGATGATTTACCATTGGCTCACTCCAGTTGTTCTGCGGTGGTATCCTATAAGTTAAAGATAAATCACAATGTGTTTTATTCCATTCTGAGCAATTCCGAAGAAATTGACCATATGGCCCCCACATAAGCAAATTCTTGTAAAATTTTGCAAACTTTCCAACACATTCCTGCCATACAAACGGCTTATAGGCCAGTCTTATGTATGTGAAGTCAGGACAGACAGGAAATGAGGGGAACTTATCAAATGTAACATTTCCCCATGTCATGTTAAGAGACCATGCCTCAAATCTTTGTAAATGAGTTCGGGATCCATTAGACATATCGCCGGGTAGGATCCAGTTTTGCCAGTTCATTTCGGCACAGGGAGAGGGGTCAAGACAAATGTAAGGACCATCCCCTTTATGTAGAAAATCAAATAGGCAGCCATCATCTTGATTAAGGTAAGTAAGATTTTTCCAAGGGGGTGAAAGTATCACTGGGGAAGTATAAATAGGAATATCCGCACTTCCCCAGGGTGCAGGTTCCATCATAGGTGGGTTGGGTATATAGGCCCAATAGCTTACATCTGTCGCTTCAGCGGAGGATGATACAGTAAGTAAAGCGCACATGGCCAAAAACAAATTTTCGGGTGTGCAAGCCTTCCCTGTCCGCTGCAAGATTTTTTGCCCTTCCCCACCAAGCCTTTTAATTTGTCCCCAGGTAGGCAAAACAGTAGCAAATGTTTGCCGACGGCGATGTCGTCCCCCCAAATTTAGGTGTGCCATGGCCTGTACTGGAAGTTCATCGTGGTCTGGATTCCTTGTTCGTCGCCTGACAGGATACAGTGCCGTTCGAATTGGTCCTTGGCTGGATCCACCTCGCGGGGAGCCAGGAACAGGTCCGTCCATCCTCTGTGGAGACATAAGCATAACCCTTCCCTCTATAAAGTAATAGCCCTGGTTGCCATTCTGCATCTGCAGCCGGTTTAAACCATATTTTTTCATTTAACGGAGGAGGAGCAGCCTCTCCCTCTATGAAATGCTTTTCTGCTCGGGAAAGAATATCTCCTTGCGGAAGATTCAAGAAATTGAGTGTAAATAGTGCCTGTATCAAAATAGAACGTGCATTAGATTGAGTAAATGATAATATATGATCCTTTTTCCTCCTTTTTAATTTTTTAATTTGCAACTTTAAAGTACTATGCGCACGTTCCACAATAGCCTGTCCTTGGGGGTTGTACTCAATGCCTGTTTTATGCATTATACTATATTGTTTACAAAAGGCTTGAAATTTTTTGTTGCTATATGCAGGGCCATTGTTTGTTTTAATGATAGATGGTAGGCCCATCACAGCGAAAGTTTCTAATAGATGGGTGATGACATGTTGTGCAGTTTCACCAACTTGTGCCGTAGCCCACATGAAATGAGAATAAGTATCTATTACTACGTGCACATAAGAGAATCGGCCAAACTGCGCCACATGAGTAACATCCATTTGCCAAAGTTCATTGGCATATGTGTCTCGGGGGTTTACCCCAGCTTTTGTAGTGCGCAGATGTAAAGGTCTACAGATTGGACATTGCTTCACGATAGATTTTGCTTGACGGTATGGAATTTTATATTGAACATGTAACCTTCCGGCATTGGTATGCAATAAATTATGTTTTTCCTCCGCAGATACAAAAGACACCAAAGCGTCCACTTGAGCATTACCATGTGTCAATGAACCAGGAAGATTAGTATGGGAACGAATATGAGTCACATAAATACGAGCATTCCGGCTTCTAAGCAAAGTTTGCAAAAGTAAAAATAGGTTAAGTAAATTGGACTTATGTGAATGTACAACAGCAGTGTATATATTTTTAAGGACTCCTACAGTGTAAGCAGAATCAGCGATAATATTTACAGCGGAGGGAAAATCCTTTAACACCTGAGTAATGGCGAACAATTCATTTTGCTGGACTGAATTAAAGTCTGTATACTGAACCCAATATTTAGTAGGGGTCCAGTAAGCACTTTTAGTTTTGGAGCCATCGGTAAAGACCATGGGTGCATCAATTAGGGGCTGATCACTGATGATATCCTGAATAACAAACTCTTGTTTACGAAAACAGTCCCATAATTTTCCTTTGGGAAAATGATAATTAATTTGACCAACATACCCTGCAAGAGCAATTTGTAGTTCTTCCATATTTCGTAACAAAAATGAAAATTGATCCTTGGACAGGGGGATAATAATGTCCATAATATCATAACCAGTTATGGTTATAGCCCTGTCTCGAGCTTGTTCTATCAGATATGCTATTTGAATACCATAGGGCGTAATATTTTTTGAAAAATGATGTTTAGTATAGATCCATTCAATGGGTAACTCATTTTGACCTAATATAGCCGTGGGATATTGCCATGTATGAAGAATATACAATTTTAGAGGCAAGGAGGGATCAATTCAGGTTAAGAAAGCAGATTTAATTTTTTCCTCTACAAACTGTAGTTCAATTTCGGCTTCAGTAGTAAGTTGTCTGGGGCTATTGATATCAGGGTTTCCCTGTAGGGTTTCAAATAAGTTATGCAATCGGTAAGTAGGGATACCTAGAGAGGGTCGCAACCAATTAATATCCCCTAATAGTTTTTGGAAATCATTTAAAGTTCTCAAGTTATCCCTACGAATAGCCATCTTCTGTGGCCTAATTGCATTTCTTTCTATCACATATCCCAGATAATTGATGATATCTCCTTTTTGAATTTTCTCTGGGGCAATTTTTAAGCCAAAAGGAGCAAAGTACTCAGGTAATAATTTTAAAATTTCATCCAATTCATTTTGATGAGGGCTAGCGAACAGGATGTCATCCATATAATGAGATATGTATACATGGGACCACCTTTGCCGTACAGGGCGCAAAGCAGCATCAACATAAAGCTGGCACATAGTAGGAGAGTTCATCATGCCTTGAGGTAAAACTTTCCATTGGAACCTTTGATGAGGTCCCTGTCTATTTATAGGGGGAAGGGAAAAGGCAAAGCGTTTTCTATCATCTTTATGCACAGGGATAGTGAAGAAACAGTCTTGCAGATCAATAACTACAGTATGCCAACCTTTTGGTAAGACAGCTGGCGAAGGTATACCAGGCTGAAGGGCCCCCATAGGGAACATGGAGTTGTTAACCCCACGTAGATCAGTAAGTAGACGCCATTTACCTGAGGTCTTCTTTATAACAAAAATTGGAGAATTCCACGGGGAAGTGGAATGCTCAATATGTTGCTTTTGCAATTGTTCTTGAACCAATTGATGGGCAGCAGTAAGTTTTTCCTTAGTTAAAGGCCATTGTTCAATCCACAAAGGATCTTCAGATTTCCATAAAATTTTGATGCGTTCCATCTACAATTAGAATTCGAGATGAGCTCCCCACTGCTCTAGGACATTGCGGCCCAAAATATTTAAAGGAACATCTAAAATATATGGTTTTAGGACAGCCATCTGACCATCCTGGGAAGTAAATGTCACGAACTGAGTAGCTAGGCCGATACTGTGAACGGGAGTATTGCCAACTCCTTTTATGTGACAAGGCACGATAGTATAGGGGAGCTTCTCAGGCCAATCAGCAGTCTTAATAATAGTGATGTCTGATCCAGTATCTAGTAAAACAGTAATATCTTTAGTATTCAATTTAACTTTCGTCAAGGGCTGCATATGAGTTATCTGTGTAGTCCAAAAAACATTTTTTGTGTCTGTACTACCGAATCCCCCATGTCTAATAACAGTAGACTGACCGACAGAAAGGTAAGGTAATAACAATAATTGGGCAATGCGTTCTCCTGCTTCAAAAGATATATCAACTAGGGAAGACATAAGAATTTGGATTTCTCCCATATAATCAGCATCAATTATGCCTAAATGAACTGTTACTCCCTTTGATGTCAGGCTTGAGCGTCCAGTTAATAAAGCAAAAGTGCCAGTTGGCAAAGGTCCATAAATGCCAGTGGGCACTCTCTGCGGTTTGTCCCCTCCTTTTAAAGTAAATGATTTTATGGCTGGTATATCCACTGCGGCGCTGTGTTGGGTGGCTGGGCTAAGGGAGAATATAGTTGGTTTCCCCTGTTCGTTTGTCCTGGGCCCGGGGTAGGGCCCGAAATGGAGTTTCCCTGGTGCTTCTCTGCAAAACTGGTATTTAGTTTAGCACGACATTCTTGAGCCCAATGCTTTCCCTTTTTACATCGTGGACAAATTCCAGGCCCACGCCCTTTATCAAGTTTCTTCCCTTTACAATTCTTTCTCAAATGTCCTGGTTGCCAGCAGCCAAAACATTTCATCTTATCTAGTTGTTTGGACTGCAAGGAATGCCAAGTAGTGGCCATAGTTTCAGCAAATAGCTGCATCTTTCGACTTTCTGATGTTACATCCTTACAGGCCTTCATAAAAGTGTTAATGTCTCCTGTATCCTTAATAGGTAATATAACTCTCTTACAATCCTCATTAGCCTTCTCATATGCTAGCAACCTCAACAATTGTTGTCTAGCTTCCTCTCCAATAACAGTTCTTTCTAAAGTTAATTTTAATCGTGATAAGAATTCAACATAAGGCTCATTAGTCTTTTGAATAACTTTAGTCCATGATCCATAGTGCTCCCCTGTTGGCGGAATACGTTCCCAAGCCTCTAAACCTATCTCCCGCAATTGCTCATGAATTTCTTCAGGGGTATTAACCTGAGCAGCAATATCAGAATATTGACCTATCCCTGCCAACACTTGATAACTTATAACCTGTATACGAGGGTTAGGACTTCATGCATTCTGGCGAGCCCGATCCATACATAGTTCAGAAAACCACATCTGCCATTGCAGATACTCAGGCTCCTTCAGAAGGGCTCTACAAAGGACCCTCCAATCTTCAGGAGAGAAATTATTATAATGTCGAGCTAATCCATTAAGTAGCTCCTTCACATAATGTGACTGTGGTCCATATAGAGACACTGCCTTTTTCAAGCGACCGATATCCTCTATTCCGATACCTTCATAATATGGCGCTTGTGCTACTCCCTGGACCGGGGGAGGCCTAATAACAGGAAAAGCAAAGACAGAATTATCAGCCTCGCTCTCATCATCGCTATCTTTTAGCGCATCAAGCTCAGCCAAGGCAGCAGAAAGGAAAGGATTCTTAAGAGAAAGACCTGGTGCGGGTGGCAGAGGTGGAGCGGAGGGTTTTTTAGGGGGCTTCTTAGATCCCTCTGCTATAGCTAGAACCCGCTGGAGAATCTTTTGTAAGTGCTCCGTCCCGGAATCCGATTTTACTTTTGGTTTTGTTTCAATGTGGCCACACTCACTCAGTTCCTGAGACGGTGCAAGCTCAAAAGTATCTCTTACTACCGCCCTTTTTTCATCTGTATCAAGAGGAAGATCTTGTATAGAAGGAGCCATCTCCTCATGAAAATTCCCAACCGTGCGGTCATCCTCCATTGCCTTAAGTACTGTAAATATAATTGACCAGATGGACCAAAATCACACGGGAATTTTCTCTCCTTGCCTCATCGCCTTTTCGACATTATGTTGAACCCGCCGCCAGCTATCCATATCCAAAGTACCCTCGTCTGGAAACCAAGGATTCCATTCTCGAATTACTTTCAAACACATCTCAATATCAGTAGAAGCAACAGTAATGCCATAGACAGCAAGTGAATGCTTCAGCATTCGAACATAAGGAGTAGAAGTTTCTTGTCCCATAACCCTGTTATTTTAAGTTATTCACCCTTCCTGAACGTCCTTCAGGGTCCCTGTTCGGGCGCCAATTGTCAACGTCTAGTGCGTTGGGGTCCCTGGGTAAGGGCTGCGAAATCACCGGGACACAGGGGATGCAGAGCAAAGGCAGCACTTGCAACTGCATGCTGTCGTTTATTTTCCACATAGCTATATACTTGCAGCAATCAGGTAAGCATAACAATATGTACTTTCACACATAATGGGATTAAACTAACATCCTTGAAGAAAGATACATTAAAGAATTCTCTCAGCCACCCTTCCTCTGGAGACAGCATGTTCTTGTCCTAAGGAGGGACGCCTCTAATCTAGGCAAGAGCCACTTCTTGCAGATCCAGGCATTCAGAACTTGCAACATGAGATAAGGGGAAGAGAACATTTTCTCCTCCTTGCTCAGGTTTGCCTGGCTTTCCTAACTCTCACTGCAGTCCTTGAATGACCCTGGCTCGCAAGGGGCCTGCAAGCCTATGCCATCTCATTTCACTATAAATGATCTGGTCTTTAGGACCTTACCACTATGTTGTCAACTTTCTTAGGAATTCCAGTGAGTACAGAGAAGGCCTCCCCAATATCCATAATAACAAAATGCCCCCCAGCCTCTTTTCTCCATCCCTCCTCCCTACATCCCAGAATTTCATTATCAACGAGAATCTTCATGAGAAATGCTGTTCAGGGGCGCCTGGGTGGCTCACTCGTTAAGCGTCTGCCTTCGACTCAGGTCATGATCCCGGGGTCCTGGGATCGAGCCCCGCGTCGGGCTCCCTGCTCCGCGGGGAGTCTGCTTCTCCCTCTCCCGCTCCCCCTGCCTGTGTTCCCTCTCTCGCTGTGTCCCTCTGTCAAATAAATAAATAAAATCTTAAAAAAAAAAAAAAGGAATGCTGTTCAGCACTTCAAACTTCTGAAATACAATCTAAAGCTGTGGGTTGTGGAGACGAGTGAAGAAAAGTTGGGGGGAAAATATAACTTTACCCAGGAGGAAGTAAGGGGACCGGATATAAAAGAGGGAGGGAAAAAATGTAATCACCTTCCTGGAGAGGAAAAGAAAAGGTATGGCAGATGATTAAATGGACCTTCAAAGAGAACAAGCTTTCATCTATACGATGAATTAATGCACAGCATGGTGACAATAGTTAACAATACTGTATTATACACTTGCAGTTTGCTGGGAGAGAAAATAATCTTGAGCATTCTCACCACAAAACAAAAATGGTAACTCTGTGAAGTCATCATTGCACAAAGCATATGCATATCAAATCATCATAAATATGTACACTCTTATATATCTAAAATTAGAAAGATTCTGAATTCCAAAATGAAAAGCCCTGAAGATATTAGGTAGGACAATGTGAACCTCTCTTATGCATCGGTGAAAAAGAATGACCTGTAGATGGGTATTAAAGAGGGCATGTTCTGCGTGGAGCACTGGGTGTTATATGCAAACAATGAGTCATGGAACACTACATCAAAAACTAATGATGTAATGTATGGTGATTAACCTAACATAATAAAAAAAAAGGGGGCACCTGGGTGGCTCAGTCATTAAGCATCTGCCTTTGGCTCAGGTCGTGATCCTGGGGTCATGGGATCGAGCCCCGTGTCGGGCTCCCTGCTCCGCAGGAAGCCTGCTTCTCCCTCTCCCACTCCCCCTGCTTGTGTTCCTGCTCTCGCTGTGTCTCTCTCTCTGTCAAATAAACAAATAAAATCTTAAAAAAAAAAGAATGACCTGTAGATACAAGTATCAATATGAATGAATGTCAAAAACATAAACTTGAACATGGATGGAGCTAGAGGGTATCACACTAAGTGAAATAAGCCAAAGACAAATACCATATGATTTCACTTATATGTGGAATCTAAAAAAACGAAACAAATGAATAAACAAACAAAAAGCAGAATCAGACTATAAATACAGAACAAACTAATGGTTGCCAGAGGGGAGGGAAGTGGGGAGCAGACAAAATGGGTGAAGGGGAGTGGGAGGTACAGGCTTGCAGTTATGAAATGAAAAAGTCCCAGGAACAAAAGGTATAGCATAGGGAATGTAGGCAATGTTACTGTAACAGTGTTGTATGGTGAGAGATGGTGGCCATCACTTGCGGTGAGCACAGCCTGACCTACAGACTAGTGGAATCACTATGCTTGTACACCTGAAACTAATGTAACATTGTGTGTCAACTGTACTCAAATAAATTTTTTAATTTCTTATTTAAATTCAACTTAATTAACATATAGTGCATTATTAGTTTCAGAGGTAGAATTTAGTGATTTATCAGTTGTGTATGACACCCAGTGCTCACTACATCAAGTGCCCTCCTTAATGCCCATCACCCAGTTACCCCATACCCCCACACACACCTCCCCTCCAGCAACCCTCAGTTTGTTCCCTAGAGTTAAGAGACTCTTTTGGTTTGCCTCCCTCTCTGATTTCGTCTTATTTTATTTTTCCTTCCCTTCCCCTACATTCATCTGTTTTGTTTCTTAAATTCCACATATGAGTGAAATCATACGATATTTGTCTTTCTCTGACTGACTTATTGCACTTAGTTTAATACACTCTAGTTCCACCCACACCATTGCAAATGGCAAGAATCCATCCTTTCTGATGGCTGAGTAATATTCCGGTGTGTGTGTGGGGGGGGGTGTGTGTACACACCACCCCTTCTTTATCCATTCATCTGTTGATGGACATCTTGGTTCTTTCCAGAGTTTGGCTATTGTGGACATTGCTGCTATGAACGCTGGGGTGCAGGTGCCCCTTCAAATCACTATTTTTGTACTCTCAGGAGTCACAGACTTGGTCACTCTGAGACAAAGGTGCTCCTGACACTGCTGGGATTCACAAATCCAGGGCTCAAAGGGCCAGCTGGGAGGTTGGACATTTGTCCCATCTTGTCTCTAACTAGGAGATTGGGGATTAGGTCCCAGGAGATACTCCATGTGAAAATAGGAGCCAGGAGATACTCCTCCTGGCTCCTATTCCTGAGGATGGGTTGGCTCCAGCTCCAACTCTTCAGTCCATGCTGCTGTTACAGGGGAGGAAGAACACTGAGGTTGTAGCAAGACCTCTTTTTATTTTTAAGATTTATTTGTTTGTTTTAGAGGTTGGGGGGAGGGGCAGAGGGGGAGAGAGAGAGAGAGAGAGAGTCCCAGGCAGACTCCACCTTAAGCACAGAGCCCGACGTGGGGCTCAATCCCATGACCCTGAGATCCCGACCTGAGCCGAGTCAGATACTTAACCAACTGCATCACCCAGGTGCCCCATAGCAAGTCCTCTTAAGAAGAAGGGAAAGCAAACCAAATAGGCAAGACAGACCCAACACCTAGTGATGGTGACAAAATCTGAGGATGGTCAGAATTTCCAGGTAAGATCTGAGGTAGGTAGAGATGGGAGGCACTGGTCACACACACACACACCCTTCTTTCTCCTCCTCCCCTATTCCTTCCTCCTTTTCTGTCCCTTCCTCAGTCTCAGGCAAATACAACTTGGCTCGCTTAACCACCACAAGGAGAGCCTTGACTTGATATCCATGAATTCCCTGAGAGTCCAGCCTGAAGTCAGTCCAGATCAGGGGTCCCCAAGTCCCTGGCAATGGCCAAGACATTGGAGCTGTGCAATAACAGTGCTCAAGACCCCTGAACTATGCATGGACCACTCCCTCTCAGCCCACAGGATCACGGGAGTGGCTTCCAGAATCAGTCTATACCACCATCCGAGGAGCGAAACAATCTCCACAACAATGAATAGGTCAGCACGCCCTAGCTCATTTTTTTTTTTTTAAGTATCAGAAGTATTTGCAATAGATTTATTTAGGCTCATTTTCCAACCGAGGTTCTGAGAAGGTAAATGATTTGGCCATGATGGTACACCTGGAACTGACACCTGGGCCTGCACATGTCACATGTCTGAGTGCAAGCTTTGTCATTGTACTACTAGGTCAGAGCCATTGCCACCCAAGAGCATGATGACGAAATTGCTGATGATGGCACTTACAACTCTATATATGAAACTTTTACAGTTTTCAAAACTCAGCTTCCCACAGACAGGGACCAAGAAAAAGTCCAATTTGCTCAGGACTGAGGGTGTTTCTCGGAAGTGAAATGTTTAGTTTTAAAGCAGAAAAGTCCTGGGCAAACATGAAGGACTAGTTGGTCACTCCAGAAGGCAACCTCCTTTTGTTACCTCTGTCAAGAGAAAACAATAATATCAGGGAAAGCTACTATGTGACGAGCACTTGATATAAGCCAGTCACTGTTCTAGTTCTGTACAATCCTTATCTAATTTAATACTCAACGACCTTCTGATTTTGGCATTATTATCCTCTTTAAACAGATGCAGAAACTGAGGCCAGAAACACTGAGCAGACTTGTTCAACATTACAGTCCACAAGGAGGCTGGGGCCCAATGAAGGCTTGTCACACCCAGAGAGAATGTATCTTATCGCCACATCAAAGAGCATGGCTGCCATTGCCTGTTTGTGACTTCATCCTTCCATACATCCAAATGCATGAGATAAAATCTCTCAATTTGGATTTTACATCACAGGTCCTGAAAAAAACTTTGATTCTGGTATTTTGATGCATTCAACAATCCCATATGGTAGGTTTATGTCTACATCTTACAGGTAAAGAAAATGAGGCTCAAAGGAGGAAAATAATTTACCCAAAATATAAAAAGTATTGAGGGTTTAGACAGAGAGGATTCCCCTTAATAGTTGTCTAGTAAATGCCCCTCCCCGAGATATCTTATTCAGACCTCTAAGCCTATGAAATTGAGATTTTCGTTTTTAAAAAGGTGGAGAGTGGACTAAGACCTGGGAAGTTTCTTCCTAGCTAAGCTCCAGTTCAGCCTCACCCAGGAGGTCTACAGGACAATTTATGAGACACCTAAAATGCAAACTTCACCCCCCAAAAGATCTCCTGTTGCTACTGTCCATAGTTCTCAGTTCTGTACATGCTTATGTGCTCACCAATGAGAGACAAGAGTGCATTTTAGTGACATTTAAAAAGAACATAGAAAACAGAGGAAAAGCTTTGAATGGTATAACTTGTTGGAGTCTATGTACATGTAAGCAAGATTTTCCTGCAATTTGGCTACTATAAATGGCAATCAGAAACCACACCAGCATCGCTGACTTCCTGCTCCTGGGCTTC